TCGCTGTTTCAACGTGTGCACTTTAACTCCGAGGCTATCCTGTTTTGCAGTGACGACGATCTCCACTATCCTAGACATCGTTGCCTCAAAGACACTAACACAGGATTGGCGGTGTACAAATCGAGTCACGAAAAAGCGATTCCGATGCAGCCATTATCTGTCCGCCAGCAGAAACATGCGGAACGAGAATGCAGCACCACAAATCCTGAAATGGGTCACCGTACGTGTGTCCCATCGTATGATTTGCCAACCTTCAGTAACACTTGCATTCAACTACGAGCTGGTGTTGTGGATTTGCTGGCTCGAGGAAAAGAGGTAATTGGCCAGGCAAGCCCAACTTTGCAGAAATTGCCTTCCTACGGCTCTCCTTCTGAGACTATCAGGTCATCGTGAATAAATTGGCTGATCTACTATCCGTGAACACCAAAAGCATAAATCACCACAAAAGATCTTCTCCTTGCGCAGTTCCAATTGGAGTTTAAGGTAAATTAATTTGTTGCCTCATGCCCTGTGTTTGCATCGGATTCGTCTCGTATATCGCTTTGGTTGCACAAGACTAAGATGGGCAAGTCAAAGTTAAGCGCGGATCCATTGAATAAGGACACGTGTGAATAAATGCCCTCCAAGATTACTGATTCCCTCTCTGGCGTAGCAATAGCAGGGTCGTTAATAAGCTCTTACTGACAAAGCGAACAAGGCAATGTTTCAAATACGGATGCCAGTCTTGTATTTGTAGCTCAGATGCTACTAAATGAGGGTCGCTTTATGAATGCAGGCAATACTGCACCGCAACTCTGCACGTCACGCTCCACGATGGTCGAAAGGGGAGAGGATGGTGTTTTGACTGCCTTGGATGAAAACTCGGATTTCTGCACTGACTCGCAATAAACGCTGCTAGAGGTGCTGTGCACCTTCCGCTTGGTCTACAAGGTAGGTTTGACAATGAGGGTGTGACACATTGTCTGCACGCGGTTCAACCATAGAATTACAATCCGACCAGGCGAATCAACTGGGTAAGAGCTATGAACTCATTACATGCCCCATGGCGAAATGAAAGCCTCTCGATGTTATTAGTTGTACAGTTGCACACAGAAAGTTAAGACAAAATCTTACCCATTGCTTTCCATTTTACTATCGGCCAAATGTATTACACAAAGGATACACTTTGCAGCATGCACTCACATGCTTTAGCATTCAGGCTCTCACACCAATTTCGCACCTCGGGACAATTTTAAAAATGAACTGCTCTTCCAGGAGTGGAACAGCCTTCTCCAGCTGTTTAGACCACAGAGTACTTTGCTTTACTGCTCGAATCAGAAGGGCTTACCTGCCCACCTTGATGAGTCTGCAGCGAGCTAATTAACCTCCTTAAGTCGATAATTTGATTCTGCCAACTCAAATCACTGCGTGATTAAATCTTGGCCCGCAGATACGGAGGAAAAGTCCAACAAAGAGTTAAGTTTGAAAGATCTTTACGTGTGTACTGCACGTCAAGTGGTGCCGGTTCGACGGGATGACGTGCATTTTGCATTACAAATTACATGTTTGTGTAACTCAAAGGGCTAAGCAAGTGGCTGAGAACAAATAGAATATTTTACTAAGCATGCACACCATGTGATATGCTCTACTTATATGAAG